AATATTTACGATACATTTAATTGAATTTATATATTTAATGTATTTAATTTTTAATTACATTTATATATTTTTTATATTAATATTTAATATATTTAAAATATTAAAATAAATTAATTCTATTGTTTTTTTAATCACTCTTATTATTGCAATATTATTGTCGACTTTAATATTATATAATACGATATTGCATAACATTGCGGTGTTACTAAAATTTCAATCGGACCACTTCATAAATTGTAAACAAAATCACACAAGAAATTCGCCGATCGACATGCAAATTGATCATCCAATTAGGATCGCGTACGCTGGATTCGTGGATATTTTATATGCAACGTGCCGGGATTTTTCGCACCAACGACCTCCAGTCAGTTTGCGTTAATTTACTTGCAAATTCAGTGGCGGGAGGTGCAGTTTTACCTTGCACTTTATGACGCTTGTACGTGACGTCTTGAATGTCAACAGGCAGCGTTTTCGCAAACAAAACGTTCGAACTTGTTAATTGCACCCGCGATGCAACTACAATATATTATCATAATTGATATAAGCAATAGTTCTTATTGTTTGATTGTGATCATGCTCAAACACACTTTTAGTGATACGCACGAAATATTTTGTCATCATTTAAATACATGTAAATTTAAAGCATCCACATTTCATATTATATATTTACAATGAATCCAAAAAATATAAGAGATTTAAATTGAAAGTTATAATTAAAAATTAATTATAATTAAGATAATTAATGAAGATAAGTTTGGAAATTTGTATGCACTTAAATACACAATTTCTAAAGTATGACTAATTTGAGATAAGGAGTTTATACAATAAATAAAAGTGTAAATTTTTATATTCCAAATAAATAAACGCGGAGATTCTCATATATTAAATATAAAAATTCAAATAGGAAGTTGGTTAATAAGAGCGGAGAAAGTAGATGTAATTAAATTATAATATGTAATTGTTATCCTTTATTTTTCAAATTTTTTAAATTCAAAACTTAAAACGTTATTTATTAAGAAAGAAAAAATAAGTGTGAATAGAACATTAACAATGACGTTCTAGTGATTACTTATGTCTTGTTTGTTGATACGTGACAACTTGTTACTGCTATATATTATACATCACTATGACGTATGCGGTTTTGCGTCGTTTCATTTGTGATCGCTAGCGAATCTCATTATTTTGTTTTTTTTTCTATTTCTCTAGCTTTTACAATCATTTCGGATTAATCTTTTTATCTCTTAACGGCTGAAAGCGATAGAGATGAAAGTTGATAGAAAAAAAATAATTTTTGTCATTTGAAATTGTTAAAAATGATCCAAAGAAAGGATCGTAACATACAATTAAAAAAAGACATTTCTATATATTTCTTTCAATCGCATTTACTTTCTGCACTCGGCTTTTATTAGTCCACGACCTATTTGACTTTTTAGCGTTCAGTTTTTGTAAATATAGCCTTCAGGGAAAAAAATATATTTAACGCGCGCGCATATCCACTTGACGTCTACGTTATTATTATCTGCGGAGAAAAGTGATGTATCGTTAACGCACAATTCATAATTTTTCACGGTTGATATGATACGATGTTATATGAGCGTTATTAAATTCTCCATCCGCGCGTCCTTGTCAGACGAATTCGACCGTTACAACCGCAAAATTGATGCCTGGACAGCGACTGAAGGGAGGTGAAACAAAATTCACTTACCGGTCAAATTTCGCGAGCACCTATCTTGAATTGTCGGGAACAAGCTCTTTAACTGCATCTCCGGTCGCTCGGCTGCACTTGCCATGATTTTCCTTAATCGCCGGATTCTGCGAGGTTTTTGTACAGCTTTGTGGTGTAGCCAAGAGACAGAGACATGTCGCCATTAATTCTCTAGTCATAGATTTCTTGTTGAACAAACTTTTTTTCATCCTTTAAATTCTTACTAATAGCGTAGGCAAAAAGTAGTACAAAGAACACGAAATAAAAAAGTATTTATATATTCAAATAATTATTTCTCATTAAGGATGTTATATAAATCGTGCGTAAAAAGATATTTTAACGAAAGCATTTCTAAACCGAGCTTGAACGAAAAAAGATTACATTTTTCCATAAACATGACATTACTTAAAAAAATTAAAATTATTTAGACAAAAATGTGGTCAGGAAAAGAGAAAATAAACACCATTTTATAGATAGATTCTTTTTTAATAAACAATTGAAGAGACAATTCACTTATGTTAGTTAGTTAATTTTTTAAACTCTCTTATAGTTACAGTTTTTTATATAATTATACATTATATATTTATATATATCTCTATATATAATATTGTCGTTACACATATAATTTTATATCGCGGAGTATCGACTGAATATGAGGCATGATTCACCGGGTATTCTCTCTTTTTCTACTCTTTCTCTCCCTCTCTCTTTTTCTTCTTATTTTACTCTCAGTTTCTGCAAGCATAATCATGATCATACATACAACAGGCGCACACAACAAACGCACGCACGCACGCACTTACAAGTACCATACATATCATCGATTCTTATCCGTGATTTAATTTTTATATTTTATAACGCGACAATTTTTGCAAATGTCCGTCATACAACTCCTTGCTCTATCGCATATACATACATATATATCATTTAATTATCATAGATAAGAAGTACATGCTAAGTTATGTTTACTGAGATCATACTAATACATCACAGGGTTACATAGACATAAGATTTTTCTCTCTTTTATTTTTTTTTTCCGAGTTTTCTTCACGGCAGGCACCAAGCGTCTCGTGACTTTCTCAGATCTTACGAGATTCCAAGATTGTTAGGTCTTCTTCTGCGTTTAATTCAGCGGTGGCATCGTTAGGTACAACCAAGTTTTTTCATTTTATTCTTAATTTTAATGTCACCGAAAATGACATTGTTCGATAGAATTGAAATGTGACTAGGCGGATTATCTTGTCACTTTTTCGCGAAATGGAAATATCACTCTTCTAACACATCCCACGATGCCATTGCTAAATTAAAATGACTTGCTTCCTTTTGATGATTATTGAATTTATATCGAAATCGCAAAGTGCTATATCTGCCACGAATATATATATATATATATATATATATATATATATATATATATACATACATATATATAATCAATGATAATTAATATTCAACTGATTTGACTGCTATAAATGAATTTTGTGAAATTCTGAATATTTTGTTCCGTACGGGGGGAAATAAATTTTGTGATCAATGCGTATCTTTAAATTTGATTTATGGAGAGAGAGGGAAAAGAGGAGAGGAGAGATTTATACATTTTTCAACTCTTTCTCTCATATATTCGATGTTACGATGTGGATTTCGAAAAAATATATAGTTTGTAACCACCAGTCGTATTTTTGGGCTATAATCTCAAAAAGGAAATAGCGAGCTGGAAAATATCAGGAGGAGCAAGATACGGTAGGATACTTTACGAGGACCGCTTTAATGGGGTATTGATAAACAAAAAGTCATATATGATAACAGAACTACTATTATAATCATCAATTAAGAATACACATATAGCTAATATTACGTTTTATAAATTCGTTGGCGCGACGAACGAAGTAAACGTTCACTTTATAATACGCACTGGAATTTGTTTAATTATGAAACGTTTAATTCGTTCAATCTCGATATAAAAGAAATGTAATTATTGATAACAAAAATAAAAATCTGTAATTTATTAACCTTTCGTTGGATACTTAAAATTTGATTTTCAAAAGTTTTTTCTTCTTTTTAATTTATAATATATATAAGAAATATTTTTTTTTGTAATTTTATATACATATATATTATTGTCATTATATACGTTATATATAATGCGACCAACAAAAAGTTAATGTTATTACGATTAATTATTCTTGTTAGAAATATTATATGAGAACTTTCGAGTACTTTTTTAAGATTAGAGAAAGTTATAAATATCTAAAAATCTTTCTATTGACTTTCTATTTGAACATAGATGTTCTCGAAATCAAAATTCTATGTAAGTTATTACATTTGTCTAAATTATTTGAAATGTAGAAAATAATAAGATTCAGAAGTTATTGTTTAAATATATTTCCAAGATAATATTGCAGCAAAAAAAAAGCGATTCAATTGAATGTAAAAATATTAAATATATTTTTGTGTCGATATTTTAATTTATAATAAAAGATGCAATTAAAGTATGTTATTCTTTTAAAAGCTGCGACTTTATAACGATTATGTCTCTCGCATATATTCCGAAAATAAATGCGATATAAGATAAAGAAAAGGAAAGGAAACAAGGAAATAATGGATCTTTTTTTCTTTTAATATGTATTAGATAAAAAGATAATTGCGGGGTGATTTGGCATCGGCTGTACTTCCTTAAAATCGTACAGGAGATCAATGCTTAAACTTGGGTAACAAACTACAGCTAAATCATGTTTCTCTTCTTTCTTAAAGCTGGTCGCATTCTGATATGGAGCAACCGTCCTTTTGAGCTTCTCCTTATATTTTCGCAAAATCATGTCCAAATTGAGAAAATTCGAAACGTAAAACTTTAATTTGGAAATTCGAAATCGTTTCGATATTGCACGTGTTTCAAGGATTAGGCGTCGAAACTGGCGCAAAATCTATTAAGATTTGTTTCCTAATAAGATTCTAAAATTTCCACAGTTATTCAGCAAAGGAAAATCCGTCGTTGAATACTTGGGGAAATCGAAACATAGCAGTCACAAGTCCCAAAAATCCATGGATCAGCTCAAACATCCTATTCTTTCGATCCAATGAATACGCGCGATACACTCTGCTTTATATCTTAGAAGCTAATAAACTAATCCCTATGAATAACTTTAAATTTGCATGTATTAGCTCTTCTCTCTTATAAAATGTTTTTGTTGTATGTAACGACATTATTGTTTAAAGATTTTTCTCTGAATGTCTCAGAAACAAACGTAGAATATATTACATTAATTAATTTGGGACACAAATCATTACTCTTTCTATCTACAATCTAATTCTTATATTCTACTTAACATTACATCTTATTCTAATACAAAAGAAGATATGACATGTTTCATAAAAAAATAGCAACGAGAGTTATACTCTCTCTCTTCTTCCATCAAGCGCGTCCTCTCTCTTTCGTTTTTATCTAATCATTCTGTTTTCCGCGTCTCGCGCGCCTTTTCACGCTGTTATTGTTTTTGTAATCTTTCGCGATATTACAAAGCGACGAATACAGACAAAGAAATATTCACGATGAAAAACATTGTTTTTATTTTTTCATGTTTTTATTTTTAATTCATCTATCTCTCGATCTGTTTCGCCTGCACTCATGGTAGATAAAACTATATGAATGGCACAGCCAACGCAAACCTCGCGACTCCTACCAAAGTTCCTCTCTTACCCCCAGTTACTCCTCTCGGCGATACTTTCCGTTTCTGTCTGATATATTGTCTCTACGTTGCGCACAAACGAAATGGAAGAAGACGGCAAGGTTTGAACAAGGAAGCTGAAAGTTTTAGCTGCGTATCTGACCCGCGTTACGGGCGATCTTCTCCGGCGGCTCTATCATACTCTTTGTGGTGCCGTTCAAGCCGCGCTTACGACTCTTCATGTAGTCTGAAACAGACAATGAGAAAAGCATGTTTTTATATAACCGATGCGACAAGTACGTAGAAAAGTAATCGAGTAGAACATTTAATCGACTATGAAATAATATATAGAAATTTATTGTCATTTTATTATTGTTAAATACGGAGTTTGTGAATTTCACAAAACAAAAATATCCTGTAGATATTTATAATTTCGCAATTAGGATAATTTTATTACAAAATACTAATAATTTTGGTAGTGTAAATATGATGTATTATATGTACATTTTTTGTATTTATATATTTATTTTTATTTGTATTGCATCTGGAATGAGATAATGTATCTTAAAAGGCATCTGGTGAATAACGCAAGCAATTCACGGCTTATCTTCGACTCTGATTTCTTATATGTAATCGCATGCAATGCCAGACTTGACCTTATGCACAATCCGGCTTGCTAACGACCGTATGTGCATGCGAAATCTTTTCCTTTGATAACCTTGGGAATATAATATCGACGCACCGCGTACTCGCTAATTATATCAGTGAAAGATAAAAGCGTGAGATCAGGATTTTACATTGTTTTTATTTAGTCGTTCTACGCAGTTGCAATTTTCAGATAAATATTTTCGTCACCGCGAAACAAACATTAAATTATTTTTCTGTGAAATTTCATAACAAATATTCAAAAGATCGAAACATAATTAAAAAGAATTAAGAGTTTTAATTATATAAAATTCTAAAATTTGTTTTATATATAAAAAATTATATACTTATGTGTATACTAGTCATACTATAGATGGACTCGAATTTGAATGGTTTTGTCGAAGCAAATTCGTTGATTGTGACTCATAAATCGATACGCTGATACGATGTACCCATGTATAAAGGCACCCTCAGACCCCTTTGGAAGAGCATTTGGCAAACTTTCTACAGTGAAATTAGGTGCATCTGTTCAATTTTCTATTCGAACCCTTGTGTTTTTGTAGGGGTCTTCTTCCGAGCCACGCGACAAAAATTACAAAAATCACACAAATTTATTTAGCTCCTAATATTTTTCCTTGTTACGAAATATTGTTTGATTATTACGTTTGACAATTTATTACAATATTATTACAGTTTTATTTCGTTAAACACATGTTTCACATATTTATGTTATTATATAAAAATATCCAGAAAACCATATATTTTTTTAAATCAATAATTTATCGCGGAATATTTTTAAAATCCGAAAAAAATATTCAACAGATTTAATTATTCGCTATTCTCCTCACCCTCTAATTTAAATACCTCCGAGACGAGATATACGGGCCCTAAATCCTGATTTTAAATACCGACCCTCTCCCAACGATCCGTCCGCCGCCCCTGGGGTTCATAGTCAGGGGACACGCGATTGCATGCACAGCTGATGCCCCCCACGCGTGCACACACTCGACGTGCACGCGTCACACGGGGCTACAAAAGGTCTGGAAAGGGGGGCGGATGGGGATCGCGAGAGAGGAAAATGCATGGGGGTGCATTCGGGGCCAGCAACCCCATATGGATTTTCAACAGCTGACCGCGCGGCTCATTAATAAAGTACGTTAGAAATTTCGTTCGGCGCCCCCATAACCGTATCCGTGAAGCAAAATACGTTACGAACTCGTTACTATCCCCCGCGAGGGAAAGAATTGAGTGGCACAGAGATAGGAAACCCAATCGGTTTCTCATCCATTCTGCACGTGTGTACAGGATGTTCCGGAAGTCGTAACTTCCTCTCAGAGATAGCAGAAAGCGAATTGAAAAAAAGTTTGAATATTTATGTACAGGAAATAATTCATTATCAAATATTACCTATTAGATTTTAATAATTGACAAAAAAAATGATTTTTTCGTCGACCTGCAATAAACCATGCAATTTTTCCTCCTCGGGTAAAAATATAAACAAAAACGTCGTGTGCACGAACGTGAAATGTGTTTACACGCATGTATATACGCGTGCGCGACATATGACGAGTCACATCCAGAAATAGACGCGTCGCGTGGGTGGTGTGCATGTTCGAATAATAAATAGGAGAAAAAAAGAGAGAATTAGACTTGCGAGATTTATAGCATATACAAGACGTTTGTATTGCAACACGAGCGCGAGATGCATCGAGGTCGATACTTTGTTAAAATCTTCGAAAGAGCGCGTACATGCTTGTTAAGAATTCTATCTTCACGATAAAGATTTTTGATCTTTATCTCACGCTAATAAAAAAAGCAATTAAAGTCATGATATTTAACAACATAACTCGACAGCGGTTATGATAAATAATTCAGAGTTCACATATGTTCTTTCTTTTTTTCCTTTTATAAAATTGCCGACATATAGCTTATCTCTCTCAATTGCACATTATGTTACTCAATTATATATTGACTCAATCTCTTCTCATTTTCGTATAATCGATTAATCATTATCGAACAAATTTCCAGACAAAGAATTTCCAGACGGAGATTAAGCTCGAATTTAGCATTGCAAATCGTTCACGATATATACACACGTCGCTCGCACGTAAATATAAGTAGTGTCAGCAGTGATAAATTTTGCGTACGAGAGAATATATAACATAATTGCGGTAATCTCTCGACAAACGAATTGGATTGACCTAGGCTATGCGTTTCCTGTATAAACATATACTCAGCAAATTAATTATGATAAATTCAAGAGTCTGTAATCTTTCAACACGGAATTATTTTCGCAGCCCGTAAAAAATTCATATATAACATGTACGGCGTAAAATTCATTCCGACATGTTTTGTGCCGGAAGCAATGAATCGCAGTTTTACGAAATTTATTTCCCGGAAAGAAATTAACGATGATAAGATAACTCGCATGATCTCGCCCTTATTACTGTCGATTCGAAATTCATTTCTATAAAAAAATTTAAAAAATTTACGGAATCTCCATAAATTAATAGAGAAATAAATTCTTTTCTTTTCTTTTCTTTGTCTCGCGATTCGGCGCAAGACGGATTCTCGTGAAATAAAAATAATCGATTAAATTAAAATGAACACAGACACAGATAAGAACGCGAGCGAGGTCCAACGGCGAAAAAAAAAAAACAATGTAAATCACTTCCTGTCGAATCGTCATCGCGTCCTTCGTGCATATGCAAAGAAAATGCAGGTGTAAACAAACTTTATTATTATCGCGGCTGAACCTCGTGTTTCTGGCGGCGCGGCGGTAAAAGATACGCGCCGATGAGTTACGAATAGATTAGAGTTAAAAAACCAAGGTGTGTGTGTGTGTATACAGTCGAAATGAAGCAACGCGACGTATATCATCGCGCGGGAAAGATAATCAGCCGAGACCCGACCAATCAGACGAATCGTCGTTCGACGACGATAAACAACAACCGCGTTAATTTCGATACGAAAACGTGTGTGCGCGATCAAACAATTCCGAAAACAAACATCGGTTGCATTTATATAATATTGAACAGAAATCCATCGTCGAAAATGTTCGCGCGAGTAAGTTGTAAATAAAATTTTTATCAGCAATTTTTTTTCTTCTCATCGAAAACGTTTCACAACAACATCGAAATCAAAACCGTCGAGAATAGAGTAGAACTGTGTAATGGTAAGAATATGCTCGTAAATTGTCGGAAGTCGGAACGAAAACATGCACATGATTGCCGGATATATCAGGAAGTATATCGAAAGAGCGTCATTCTCAACGAATTTATTCAATCTTTCTGTCAATGAAAGAATAACTTTGAAGTATTAAAAATACCTTGAAATTGTTCTCTTTTTCCAATAAAAAATACAAAGGAGCTTTGTATTCAGAAATCTTCTAAAGTAATGGAAATTATATCAACAACTGTGCGAAATGTTACTAATTTATTTGCTGTTATAAAAAATTGTCGCAGTATTGTATTAAAAACAGCCACATAGTTTTCTCTTAGAAATTATCCTGAAAATCATGGTTATCGAACATATTTATACCTTATTGTGATATTAATATTTTTTATTGTGGTAAATATATTAATCAGAGAAATTCTTATAAAATTCTTCCAATATTACAATGTCCCACGATTTTCAGGGCTCGATTAATTTTACTATGTACAAAGCAAAATATGTACAAATATGTACATAATAATAGATTTTTATATCACATTGTGGTATATATGTTAATATTTTTATTGTGGTAAATATTATATACAGGGTGTTATAAAAGTACCGGAACAGCAGAATAACTCGAAAAATATGAATCTTAGAAAAAAATGTTAAGTACTGGGTTTTTATGATTTTTTCCTGGCTATCTGACGTTCAGATAAGACTCATATTTTTCGAGTTATTCTGTTGTTCTGGTACTTTACAAAATTCTTCCCATATATTCGTCCCACGATTACCATGATTTTCAGGATAAATTCTAAGAGAAAACTGTCTTTGTGCGGTTGTTTCCAATATAATACACTTTGACAATTTTTGTATAGCAGCTGCTATCAGTCATCAAACTTTTTACTACACAATAAAAGATACAAAATACGTTCGCTAAATTTGACTACTAAAATCAATAGAATATTTTATATCTTATTGCGACTGATACTAATATTTTTCATTGTAGTAAATATTAATCAGAGAAAGCTCTTATTCTTCCAATACCACATTATCATGATTTTCTGAATAAAAATTGAAGGAGAAAAGTTTCTCTGTACACATATCGATGAAGCTGCGAAGAATGCATCGACAGAAGGGTCGAACCTGAAGAATAAATGAACGAAGGAACTTACTGGTGATCGTGGATTGCTTTCTCGGGACCGAGGGTAGAACAGGGGTAGTCGGCTCCACCGGGCACCTCTTCCTCTTGAGGTTCGCGTCCAACAGCTGATTCGGCATCGTGGCCTCGCCGATCTCGGGCACCCTGGGCTCCTGGGGCGGCGTTCTCTCGGCCGTGAGAGTGGCGCACATCGGCGTCTCCGTCTGCTCGACGATCCTCGTGGTCGTTGTCGTCGTCGTGGTGGTCATCGTGCTTATCATCGTCGTCAGCAGCGTCGTCGGCGACGTCGTCGTCGAACTTCCGCTCCGCGGCACCTCGTCCTTCTTCTCGGCGGCCTCGACGCGGAACTTCCGCGGCGTCCCGGGCGCGTGTTTCCTCAGGTAATCCATCCCACGGAGCGCGTAGGACTCGGGAACGACGTCGTGCTCCGTAACCTCTTCCCAGTCGTAGCGGGAGCGGGAATTCGGGCGCGGGACTCCCTGCTCGAAGTCAAAACCCCATCGGTCCGCGTCTAGACGCGACTGGGCCCGCAATTCCCTCTCGGCCAGGGCCCGGGCGGCCGCGTGGTCCACGGGCCCGAAGAGATCGCGTCTGACTCGGGCGAGCGCGGCCCTGCTTGGGGCCGCACGTCCTCCTCCGCCGCCGCCTAGATTCCTACTGATTTCCGTCATCATCACCGGGTTCAGCACTCGTGCGCTCATATTTCGTCCCGCTCGATGTCACCGCCGCTTCACGCACGCACGCGAAAACAAATCACACCAGAATCCGGACGTGGATACATATACACGCGCATGAACACACTCTTTTACTATTTCCTTCTTTTCTCCCCTTTTGTGTCTCTCAACCTTTCTTTAACTCGTTCTCTCTGTTTCTTTCAGCGCGCTGTTGATTCCTTTCCCGCCGTGACGCATCGGGGATGACGATGACTCCTTCCAGGAATCCCTGCCGCCGTTCTCTTCGTCGTCGTAGCAGCACGTCGTGGGATATATGGCAACACTGCGATCCGTGGCGCGACCCACCGAATTTCGAATAATGGCCGCGTTGCTTCTGAGCGTCGACCTGGGGAAGATATCCCGCTTCGTTCTTCGGGTTTTCAACGACTCGTCGGCGCCGTGCTCATCGTCGTCGGGAAGGTAGGTGGCGACGAAGATGATTCACCAGGTCGCTGTTTTCTCGAGGAAAAGTTATCTCTCACAGAGAGATGCGCGAAATGGCAAACAGCAGCCGCGCTTGGCAACACAGTGGGGCACGGTTACTACGTAGCCGAAAGACAGAGATAGCGCGGCGGCGAAAACAAACTCCCTCTCGCGTCGCGAGATCCGCCGCGCGGAATCCGTCCGTCAAAGTCGCACAACAGAGACGGAATCTCCTCCCCGTCTCGGCGCGAACAAATATACAAGCTCCAAGTCACTAAAAGCCCGATGATCGACGCACTCCTTTCTCTTCGTCCGCGACGCGATTCCTCCTTTGGCGTAGCCGAACGGGAGGAACGCGATCCGGCAACGTTGCGTCACCGCACTTGCGCGTGAGTATCCGAGTGATCGGAGAGAGCGTGTTACGACGTGTCCCGCGCGAATTTCGTGGTCCACCGTCGTCGCCGATGATCCGCGTCTCCCTCTCTCGCTCTCGCTCTTCTTGTCCCTCCTCCTTATCTCCTCCCGTATACTTCACCAAGTATCGTCGCGTATACTCGAGACGCGATAACGCAATCGGCGCGTTGAGAAAATTCCATAGAAAAGCGCTATTGCACACGGCCCGCCAGCAATATGCCGATCCGCGGTGGGGGAAATCGCCGACAGAGAGAGATGGAATCGCCTTTGACACACGAAACACACACACACACACCGCGCGCCGTAAATACACCGCCTCGTCGCGTTTCCCGCCAAACGCGCGACTGTCAAAAGGCACGCGCGCGTGGCCCGGAAGGATGTTCCCGCGGTTTTTACGCTCGACTACGATATATATCGTGCCTCGTATCTGCCGCGAGGCGTGCAGCTCACGGAGTTGCGCGGAGACGCGTAGCTGTCACGTAAAGCGCTCTCTGGCGACTGAAGCGTACCTCCGCGAGTGCGAGCGACTCGAGTCGCCCGCGAGAGCTCGGCCGTCTTCGTCACCCCTCGGCTCGACTCGGCCGAGCGGCTCCCGCGCGACCCCTTCGTCTGACTCGGGACCAATCACGCGACGAGCGGAGAAACGAAATAACCGCCGTTCGCACTGTATAGTCCCCTCGACGTGACGTCCCGGCTTTCGGACTCGGAGTGCGTGTCGCGTTCGTGTGTGTGTGTGCGGAAAGATTGTACAGTTATCGGTATCCCTGCGTTTATGGGGAAGAAGTGGCAAGGGGAAGAGAGAAAGACCGAGAATGCCAATCGCAACCTCCCTGGACGTGCTCCAATATTCCAGGTTTCGGACTCGAGGGACGACATTTGAAGTGTCCGTCTCTCGGAGATTCCTATAAGGATTATACGGTAGGAATAAAGCACATACCGATGTATATATATGAATATTTAATTTAGTTCTTGATTATTGCAATTATATTTCATTCTTATGAGGGAGAATTTGTTACTGTATACACGGCGTGATTATAACGAGATCGGGATCGAGAGCATACATCGTTAAATTAATTTAATTGTGACCTTAATTCGTCGCTTTAATTGTCCTTCACGCGTTCACGGATAGCAACCGCGAAAAGAGAAAGAGAACGATGCGTTAATGGCAAGGGGGTGGAAGAGGGGGTGCTGCAGGAGACGCGCGAGAAATAAATAGGTCCAGTCTTTCCAAAACAACGTGAGTAATCTTATCGCATGCGTATATTCGGTGGATTTTCATGTTTGCACGCGAAATGCGACGCGTTATGCACCGTAAACTTATTTACATACCGCTCGGATTATCGCTGACATTTTATGCAACGCGATAGAAAGAGAGAGACTCTTACGTAAATCGAAAATTATTGAGAAGTTAATTCAAAAAAAAGGGAAACGTTAGCTTATTTTTTTTAATGTATTTAATATATTTTAATATAAAGAATTTTCTCTTTGAATTTTTCCAAAAAATTTACTCCAAGTATTATAGTAATTGTAGGACAATATGATATTGGAAGAATTTTATAAGAGCTTCTTCGATTAATATTTACACAATAAAAATATTAATATGTATATAGCAAAATTTACTATAAGAATTTATAAAAGTTTCTCCGATTAATATTTACCATAATAAAAATATTTATATCTACCACAATAAGAAATAATGAAAGAAATATGTTCGATAATTTTATATCTTATTGTGATAGATATTAATATTTTTTATTATGGTAAATATATATAGCAAAATTTACTATAAGAATTTATAAAAGTTTTTCTGATTAATATTTACCATAATAAAAAATATTTATATCTACCACAATAAGAAATAATGAAAGAAATATGTTCGATTAATTTTATATCTTATTGTGATAGATATTAATATTTTTTATTATGGTAAATATGTTATAATCAGAGAAACTTTTAAATAAAATTCTTTATTTAATACCATATTGTCCCACGATTACCTTGATTTTCAAGGTAAATTTTAGGAGAAAATGTTCTCTGTGTATTTGATATATTTAATATATTTAAACATTTTTTTTATATCTCGAGGGAGGCAACAATAGAAAATATACGCAAGCAAAATTTCTGCTCCAGGCTTCACGAAAAAAATAAAATGTGCAATTTTTAATATGTTGTTATATTCATACGAATTTATTGAATTTACTGATATTAATATATTAATATATTCGCGGTCGCAGTTGAATAATTTACATGTTCGATTTAAGTTTGAAGGTATTTTTACATCGATCGAAAGTCTAATATTCGCGCAGATGAAAATGTAGAATGATTCTTCAGACTAATCTGAAGTGTAGGAATAATTCTGAACGAAGAGATTTGAAAGTTTTCATTCATAAAATGTAACTCTAAGATTTCCAAGATTTTTCGCGACGTGACGCGCGACTCTTCGTTCAATTTTACGCACGAGAGCCGCGCGGCTGAGTACGATGACACAAAATCAACGGGACGAATCGAGACCTTTTTTCATTGATAATTGTCAATTTACTCCGTTGTGCTCGTCTCCGCACGCGGCACACGCGAGGGGACGACCTACGGGAAATAACAACATCGTCGTCGACGGCAACTCGCGGCGAGCGAAGCGTAGATAAACGATCCCAGAGACCAATTGGAGAGAGAGTTTGCCACGCGGCATTCTCTCTCTTCTCTTTCTCTCTCTTTTAATCGCGTTGTGTGCGTCGGTTCGATTTGCACGCCGCCATAACATGGCGCGGGTATTTCGAATATCCATCCTCTTCCACGCGAATCACAGCTCAGATGAATAATTAAATCGCAGATTATTAATTATATATATAGTTGTAAAAATTTATAAAAGTTGGTAAAGTACGGTTAGCATATTTTATATATTTAAAAATGGGTTAAAAATGGCGCAAATTGTTTTCACATACACGCATGACATATCGTAAGAGAAAACCTGGCGTCGATGCAGCGCGTTACGCTCTCTGGGAAACGAAAATCCCACGCAGCATCCAGGAAGTGGTGAGGGGTGGAGTACCGGATGCATTTCAATGAGGGGAGACGAGAGCGAACGAGTTCACGTAAAACAATTCTTTCTGCTTTTGGCAGAGAGAAAGAGGAACCCACCGGTCTCTTTTTCATTGTCCACCGCAGGAGTGCATTTCAGCGAGGTGTCTGGTTGCATCTGGTTGAGCTTTGTAACCCACAATATAAAGCGAAGGCTCTATCTATTTCCTTTCTGCGATATTTGTTACAAAATATTATCGACAAGTTCATCTATGATATTTTTCGTATCAAATTTACTCTTTTCTCTCAATACAATTGATGAAATATTATTTAAAAAAGTCTACCGCCGCATATATTATTGCAGATACATTATATGAAGATTGACACACTGGAAAAAAAATTTGCTAACTTGATTAAATTTTTCAACTAAAAATATATTTAAATTAAATATAACATTAAATCTAACAAAACATATATATTTGACTTAAATACTAATATATGTTCAATTAACAAAATAGTAATTTAGTTGAAAGATTTAGTCAAGTTAATACATTTTTTCAGTGCAGAACTTTTATTTATGCAGTCTTAAAAAATTGCACGTATCGTTGCACAATAATTACAATTAAAAAAAAAGAAACATCTTTATGGCATCACGAAATTATTGAGCTTGTATTTTCGAAACGGTCAGATTATTTCCAAAAAGGAAGTTGGCATTTATTCGCGGGCGAGGCGCACGACCGGAAGACGCACGGTCGCATCTGCGTCGCGTGTTTGCCAGCGAAAGAGTCACCTGTTTCATCATTTTGCTATCAAAGCCGGGCTTACCCTGAGACCGCCGCGTGTTATCTCATCGCGTGCTAGAGCGTAATGGGGACAAAGCTGTGCACATTCGCGATAAATCACTTTTATCAAGCTCAAGGTGGTGGTGGATCGAGATCGAGGTTGAGAACGGATATGCACTGTTTCGCAGAAGAGGTCTGCTTCTCTTCGAGAGACGTATCGGTATCTCGTGCAATCAAAATCTCATGTCAAATAGGGATAAAACGATCAGTTTCTGCACAAACGCTATATAAATCAAAATATTAAAATTATTAAAGAATCGGAGATAATTTGAATCTCGATTAGCTTTAATTTGTTATTTGTGGAAACGTTTTATATTTAAATTTCAATGGGCTAGAGAGATCCAGACACGAATAATAATGCATTATTCGAGGAAACTAATTAATAATTTTTGATTGGAATAGATTAATCGTAAATAGAGCATAAATTTTTACTTGATGCAAGTAATTAAATAAATCTCAATTCGAGATTTTATTTTAATAAAAATTTGTAGTTTCATATTTAATCTAAAAATACATTTGATAAATACGCATACACATACACATCTTCGAAGAACGAGGGCTTCTTGTTTTGAGAGTCTGACATTATTATCCGTTTGCATTCGCGGAAGGTTCTTTATCGGAAGGATTCTCAATGCTTGGTCAGAACAATGTGTGTGGTATTCGTCGTACAGCAATATCCTTTGTCGTCGTCGCGATTGTGCCCACTTCCGTGGGAATTCGCAGAACGGAAGTGCAATTTCTGGCTGGTCCGTCGTGTCCAGCTTCCATGGCAGCAGCGCGAAAAAAAGCATTTCTTAAAGAAGCGATGCCAGGTGCAACTCTCTCGCGCCTTCTCATAACGAATACTCCGGATTTAATTCGATGAAATCATGATACTTGTGGTATCTCCTTCAGAGCAAGAATATTTTACCAAGATGATCAATGAAAGATGATATTTCGCGGTTGTAAAATTCTGTGACGTTTATCTGTATAATGTGTTTGTGATCATTTTTTGAATTAAATACGTTTTGATAATATTTATACTTTTATTTTAAAAAATTTGTAATTTAATTTATTATGTATTAAAAAAATTACTATTACAATTTTACATGATTAAGTTTATTAAATGTTATAAAAAATTATTCTGCAGAATCATGATTTCTGCAATTGTAAAGATTAAAATATTCGCCTAGCGATAAACGTTACAGAATACACATCCATTGTAGACAGATGTTTTGACGTAATATATAATAGATTGCGCATAATTACGTATAATGAGCTGTAGTAAATACGAATGTCGTAAACTTTAAGTATGCAGTATTCTTTACTTTTATGAAAAGAGCAGAATTAAGCATATATGTCTATAAAAATGGGGAAGAAAGTAAAAGGAATATATTAAACTACAGTTTTTTTTATAAATATTATAGAAATATATTTTGTACATTAATCTATATATATAAAACTGTGCGAATTATTTATCGCGAGTTATAAATATCAATTGAGTATAATTACGTGTATTGCACGTTCATTTCCGTATAAATATTAAATTAAATAAAGTTACATGGCAATGCTTTAACATTAGTATTAATTGAATTATAATTGAGTTAATTTAAAACAGATATCATGATTTAGTCTTTTTTTCAGATATTAATAAAATTCACTAATTAAAACAAATTTTGCTTTGATTTCTTCAAGACAAGTTTTGACTCATTATGTCTTCTCTGACTAGACTTTATAAACTGATTAATAAGTCAGTTTAATTAATAAATAATCAATTCGAGAATGTAATCTTATCACATTTGTTTAGGATTACTTTATATTGGCCCATTTTTACGCTATTTGTATAAAAATCTATCTAATTTTACTCGAAATGTTTGAGTAGAAATTTACAAATAATTTTTATCATTCATGAAGATAAATCACATTTTGAAATTTAACATTTATAGATTTTTGCACGAAGAGCAATTTCTGTCTCTCGTTACTGCTAAAAATAAAAAATCTTTACTACTATCCACTGTATCGAATATAATATTACGAGTTTTCGTAAGTCGCAGTTTCGTCCGCCGGTTCGTCGTTTCTCCTTGCATTTATTTCTCTTTGTTCTATCTGTTCTGTCTGCTCATTCTGACTCTGTTCTTCGTTAACTAAATTTGTGGAATCAGAAATTTCGTTTCCGTGTTCGTCTAATTTTATCCATTCGTAACGACCAGGTAGTGGCACTCCACGCTTAAAATCAAAGTTCCATTTCTTCATGTCCTACGTATCAAAACAAATATTAAAATTTCAAAACACTTGTACATAGAATTACTTTATCGAGATATGGGTAATTAGTCAATAGATGAGAACGAATTTTAATAAATAATTGCTTGAATTTAACTTATTGGAGAAAAATCATTTATTTCTTACTTACTTCTTCTGCTTTTCGTTGACTGTCCTCTCTAATATGATTGCAAACGTTCTCTTCCTCGCCATCCTGTTCGACAAAAAGTCTTCTACGCACACTTTGAATTGATGGTTTGACACGTTCATCCATTATCAGCTCGGCCCTAAAAGAAAATTAAATTTTAATATAAAAAAAATGTTTACGCAAAAATTTATTCTTATATACTTATTTAAATATTTTAAAACTTTCTCTTTTTCTCTCTTTCTCAAAGTTTTTTATATAAAAGACAAGAATTAAGAAATATTTTTTATAAAAATGGGAAAGAAAGTAAAAGGAATATATTAGTAACTATAGTTTTTTTATAATTATTATAGAAATATATTTTTTTATATTAGTCTATATATATATAAAACTGTGCGAATTATTTATCCCGAACGATTTATTTGCGAATTATTTATGTAAAAAACTTTTGTATATATGAAGATAGCAGATCTTACACAAACTTGAGTCTTGATCTACCAAAATATAAACCAAATGGTTTACCAGATATAAACAAATTAATCGTATAAACAGAGTTGAAAAATTGATATATAAATTGATTTTGTCTTTTTTTATATTTTTTTGAACCGCACCGAACGTAGGTACAATGTAAAATTAGAATGAATAGTTGTTATATTATTTTTATACAATGCATTATTAATCTTAAAAAATGTATTATTTCTATATACAGGGTGTTATAAAAGTACCGGAACAGCAGAATAACTCGAAAATATGAGTCCTAGAAAAAATGTTAAGTACTGGGCTTTTATCATCTGAATGTCAGATAGCCAGGAAAAAATGTTAAAAGCCCAGTACTTAACATTTTTTCTAGGACTCATATTTTTCGAGTTATTCTGCTGTTCCGGTACTTTTATAACATCCTGTATAATGTAAAATATTAAAAGAAATATTTTATTTTATATAATACATTATTTGTTTATATATTTTATTATTTATAATTAATACAAGAAAATTAATTGTAAATATAATATTTTTGTATACAATTTTGTATCAATTACTTGAAATTGTCAAAGAAATTTTTTAGAAAAACTTTTAGAAAAATTTATCAATCAGAGCTTACCTATTCTCTAGCAAAACGATTAGTTTAATTGAATACGAAACTACTGGTTAAATATTTCTACCGTTGGATGGAACAAATAAATTTATTGATAAACTTCTTCAAATATCTAGAAGGATATGTTTAGAAACACAATTATTATATGATCGTGTTTATTTCGTAGGTCGTAGGCGATGAAAGCATACTTCAGAATATCAAAAAAGAATGTTGTCATAATTTCAGTTATGATTACAGTGTATTTTTATTTTGCTTGTTAATAATTTCAAGAGTTATTTCCTACATGCCACATACAACCAGACACTTTTTAATATTCTTCTGCGTAAAGCTGACTATCTACCAGGAAAATTCTTTGCATAATAATAACAGTATACTATTAATCAAACCAATACGCGACGAGTTATGGTTATGATACACGTTGTGTAAATAAGGCATGCGCATCAAGAGTGAGCCTTGACGTGAGGTGAGATTCTATCTATGTGTACAAACGGTAAAAGAAGGAGAAAAGAGAGACTAGAGAGAGAGAGAGAGAGAGAAACTATCAGCACTGTCGGGCAATATGCCGTTGGACGGATGTATTGGAATGCATTATACTTCCGGCATACACAATTGCGGGCACATACCGAAAGCTGTTACTTTCGTATGTACACTTGAAAGTTTTTTTGATATCATCGAATCGATCAGATCGAAAAAATTGTATTCTAAGCACCAAGAGGATCCTCTTAATTTAAGATGATATTTTTAATTTATTCTTATTTTTTAGAAAAAAATATACTAAAATTTAGAGGAATTTCTTAAATTAAGAGGATCCTCACGATACTTAGAATACAATTTTTTCGGTGTATAATTTAATATTATAATATGAAGATTTTATTCTTAAATTATTTTAAATTTATATTTAGAAAAAAATGAAAATTATGCATCACAAACTTGTAGAGTTTTATAATGAATAGTTTTCAATGTATATAGTAGACCATTTTTTAAAATAAATTTTTCTAATTATTCATGAATTAGGTATTTACTATAATTAAAAATCCGTGGACTACATTGTACATACAAACATTTATAATGCATTAAAACATTAAGAAATGCACATTATATATCCTTAATTACCTTTGCATCGTACAAAAGATAATTTTGATAGTTCTACTTTAATCGGCACGCATTTTCTCTCTCTCTCTTCCTCTCTTAATGAGCATCTCCTCTGAAGCCAATAAGAATTAAATAAAGATTCTCAAAATTACATCAGAATCAAAGATAAGACTTTTTTTCTCTTATATATTTCGCCCTTTAATGATCACGAATTGAATCTCGCTTTTTACACGCGTTGTTTAACATAAACTGGTTTGATCGGGCCCGGTTTTCGCCGAAGGTATTAACAAGCGGATTTCGCGTTATTCGCGTAATTACTATGGTGCATTTTGGCGCAGATGATACAGTTAAGTGTATTAATTCCGTCGATTAAGTATACGATGTCAGAGAAAAAGAACGCAATACTGTGCATCTCCTGCACACACCGGGCGGGTTAATGTACTCAAATGTAGTACGTGGTTTCTTCTCTCGACATTTCGGCCACACTTACGCGGATCCAGAAGATAAATGGATGCTGCGCGGTCCACGACTCAAGGTGCAAGATGACTTGCATAAAAGAGAAAGAGAGACAGAGAGAGGGACAAACAAAAACGAGTACACATTGTTGAAATCACTCGAATGGCCTCATGCCGGGTTCGCGATCATCCGATTTTCGACATAATATATTGTCGTGCCGTATTAACTCGAAAATCGCAATTGTCCGAGAATGGTATTTTGTTTCTGCGACTGCTATATACCTTTAACGATCATCCAATTATCGCGGATTTATTGCTGGCATAAATTGCGCGCACCGTTTATTTGGTCGTCTAAAGTTGACAACAGCGATTTATTCAGAGCATTGTACATATGTCTGTCCAGACCTAACTGGAACCTCGTTTGAAATGATATCTCGTACAGATTTAACAAAGCATGAAATTATTTATTTTCCTTGCATAGCTAGTTTTTCATTTCCTTTAAACAAATAAGAAAAAAATTGTCTTTTATTATATAATAAGTTCCTGTAATTATTCTATAATTTAATCTATAATTATCCTATAATTATTGTCCCTATAATTAGAGTTCTTACAATGTGTCATATTTAAATAGTTCCTCGCACATTGTTTCCTCGCACATTCCACTTATATGCCTATAGTCTATCAAACAGGTAGTACGGGTTTACACGGAGGTGCACGCCTTTCTCTGACCTACTTACTTATTCAACTATTCCTAAATACATTCGACAAATATATTGGATTATATACATTTAATTTCTCTCTTTCATTGTATTCTCCATTATTACGTGAGATACAAATATAACATTTTACCAAATTACATTCAATAACAATCTATTTTAAATAGAGAGATCGGAAATTTTGTAATCGAAAAGAAATGCGTACAATGTAAAAAATTTTATATATGACAAGTACTACGGTTAATATGTGTATTATAATTTTATCATAATTTTTGCAAGTTTTATTTTTCACATTTTCACGTTATGCTTTTGTTAATATTGTCCTGAAGCTGTAGCAAAGCGTTAACAACAACAAAATCTATATTTATTGAAAGAAAGAGAAAAGAGTACATGGAGAAAATGTTATAGTAAAAATTACTATATATGGAACATAGAGAAATTACGGTAGTTTTATTCAATAATATATAGGTATAGGTATTATATTTTACAAAGGAGTATTTTAATTATTCAAATATTTTGAGGTGCAAAAACAAATACATAATTTGCAAATATTGTTATATTCCAGTTTTACAATAAATGTAAAAAGAAATGTATTTTTCATATAAAAGTTTCTCCATGTATGGATTGCAGAAGTAATTAAAAAACGAAGGAAATTATGCCACATCCGTTAAAATAAATTCAATTAGTTTGAACATTCGTCAACTCACTGCTTCGGAGTGTCCTTCATCCGGTTTCTCACGAATGTATGCGCGTGTGCGTGTATATATATGTGTATACGAACGATAACAGGTATCTGGTATTAATTACACATGCAAGCAAACTCAATCGAGATCACTTTTGTTGCACTTGATAATTGCACGCGTTTATCTTATTTATCTCGTCTTAGCACGTGCGTCTCGTCTTTCCGTTTAACGTCGACTTTGTCATCGGTCGCCAGTTCGTGCAGCTTACACCCGATCGATAAACATGTTTTCGTTGGGGGTGTACAATTCAGTGGGGTAGTTTGATGCGCGCGCACATTCTGCAACGAGAATTGTCAGTGCGCATTCGCGTACGAAGTCTCAATGATAGATAATATTATGCCGATTCATCGAACTTATTAGAAAACTCATGCTCGAATCACAGATTTTTCAGATAATTGAATAATTAATAGAAAACATTTTTTTAATATTATTTTAAAATGATTCTAAATTAATATGAACTCGTTAACGCATTTTGCCGACTTATTCTAAAACGATCAATTTTTTTTAACATGTTAAACATTTTTTTAAGCACCTACTTTTTAATATAAAAATCAGAATCGAATGACCTGTCAAAAAGATTTAACTTATTTTTCATATTTTTAGGCAAATTACCCATGTGGAAAATTGTTAGGGGAACCTTAAAAAATGTCGGGGCCTTTAAGGGCTACTGGGACCTAATCTGGAAGTAATATGAAAATCCCTAATAGCATAAAGACATATATCTATCTGATATACCTATATATATTTGATGAATAAATAGCGAGATATACAGCATTAATTATAAAAAGTTTGTAATTGTGTACGTGTGAATGACGCAATAACTATAAGTTTGTAATTTTATCGATTTATATATTATATATAATATATAGATTGATAAATAAATTAAATTGCATTTGTATTACTTTTACACACATCCCAAAAAAGCCGGTACATTCCTGGAAATTATAGGGCCATCTTAGAGTAATATAAAGGATTTCATAAGGCAACCATCAAGGCCCTGATTACTTAACCTTTAAGGGTCCTCGATGGAAAAGCGTGATCGACCTTAAAGGGTTTTTATTGGGCTTTCACATTACCCTAATAAGGTTAGAAAAAATTAACCTTATCAAAGCCTTAACACAATTTCCACATGGGTTATTTTTCATATTTTTCGGCAAATCAGTTGCAACTTACTCCATTTGCTAACCCCAAAATAAAGAGATGACCTGAGATGTAATATCCGTTTTCTCCACAACAATATCTATATCTACCTTTGTTATCTTGTCGAACGACGGAGAGCGCGTTATATCGTTCGCGAAAGTCGGGATGCGACTAATCCCAAGGTAAGACTGCACCGCTGCATCTCGCAGTTGCACTAGCCTAGATTCGCGTTAGACTTCGCGTACGAATAGCCATACGAGAAGCACGACAGTGCGAACGGCACGCATGCGCGTTAACAACAACCCGTTAACCGCACGTTTTATTCGCGCGGTCGTTCATCCCGCGAGGCGGAATTTGTATGAATTGATGGACGGATAGATATCCTTCCGTCTAAATATCCGCGAACGTTTCGCGAAATGCACGGAGTGATAATTTCCACTCGGAGGTGATCCAACGCGAGTTTCCTGCTAATCCTCATCCTCTTCTTTGTCTTGCGAGAGCGATCAAGGTTGCGTTCGGAAACGTCCTCCGGTACATTTCCTCTTTCTATATCACTTCTATGTCAGTGATATAGAAAGAGAGGGAATGCACTCGCGAGACAAAGGAGGGGATGAGGATTAGCAGGAAACTAGCATTAGACCACCTCCGAGTGGAAATTATCACTCCGTGCATTTCCGTTCCGTATACTAACATGTATCTCTCTTCGTAGAATCTATCTGAGCGAAATGGAACGTAATTAACGATATATGTCCGTGATGAGTCTCACGATGTCATAACGATAACACTTTAATTAAATAGCGCTGCTGTTATCGGCTCAAGTTCATAGCCGCAATTTTCAAATGCAATTTTCTGAGAAGCATCTGACAGATTGCATTTACGATCAACGAAACAGAGTAACGCGATCGCTCTATATATCGGCTCGTAAAAAAATTGATACGTATATATCAATTGAACACAACGCGAAAATCGCGTTCTGGCTCTAATTGTATCATATTGAAACGCAGTTCGCGATAAGATGCGTAACTGAGAGAAAACTGCGTTGCGCTTCGTGACAATTGACCTTTCTGCGCAACTTGATCAAAACAAAATGAGCAGTTGCCAATTAAATTAATATACCATCCGCGTGTTTTAGCTTATTTGTAAATATTTTATTTATAACATAACGCTGATATTTTTTTATTTGAAGAGATAAAAATTTAAAAATAGTATCGCTCCAAAATATTTTTAAATCTTTAAAAGATTATTGAAATACGAATTACAAAAATTTATATATACGTATATATAAATATATGATTGAAGTTTGAAGCGTTCTTGGAGCAAAAATTAAAAATTTGTTAATAACAACCAGAATTAATACATATATATATGTAAATATCTTGTTAAACGGAACTCTTTCGGAGATTATTTTTGGACAAATTATTTTTTTTCTATCATAGGGGGTTCCAAGGAATGCCAACATGCTAATAATTTATGGTACCAAACATAGAAACGACCGTGCTTAATTTTATGTACTCATATGTATGATAATTTCGATGTTTCTTAATGGGAGTTATTATATTTGTACATCAATAATGCTTTTTT